TCCACTCCCAAATATCTGAATACATTCACCTCCTCCATACTCTCTCCCTCCAATCTGATATCCAATCTTTCATCACCTAATATTTTTGTTATCCTCATAACCTTACTCTTTCCTGTATTCACTTTTAATTTTCTTCTTTTGCACACCCTACCAAATTCATCCACCAATCTCTGCAACTTCTCTTCAGAATCTCCCAAGAGCAACTATGTTGCCTAAATTTTTTTTAAACTTTTATAGCATACATTCATGGAACTTGGCAGACAAATAATAACTCTAAAAATATTTACTATAATCATTACCTCAAGAGTTCTTCATTGCCGTTTGTGTTCTTGTGGTGCTTGATGGTGATTACTGTGTGGTGCATCATGGTTGGTTAAAATTTTTAAGATTTTCACTATGTATATGCTGCATACTGCTCTGGATGGGGTAATTTCCAAAATTGATGGATGATTCCCGGGAATTTTGAAAAGAAAATCATGGACACCTTGCTGACTCTGCACATTTTGTGGGGAACTTTCCCCCGTAGTTTGTTTTACATTACTTCCTCCTCCTAAACATTTTCTTTTATTTTCACTGTATAAAGTTTGAGGTAATCTATTGACAGATTTATGGTTTTGTTGAACATGGGAGGAGAGGGATAAATATTTTGATCAGGAGGAAACACAGGAGGAAAATATGAACAGCATGCACTGAGGGAGGTGGATTGCCTCACCAACACCACCCGAGGTGCCCTGTCCACTGATGAAAGCCTCTAGAACGCCCACCACATCACTATCCTGACTGTCACCTGTTAATAAGAAGAAGTTATATAATCTATCATCCACTAAAATATACACAGGAATATCTGTCAATACATCCTTGAGAGTGCAGGCACTGTACCCTCCCACCTCCAGAAAATCAAGTCCAGCTAACTAGACACTGCAGCAAGAAGGAATGTAGTGAACATATCACATTTGGGGAACAATGTGTGTGTGAATATATGCAAAGAATCTGGAGCAAAGAAATTTGAAGACACTGTGGCCATCACCAAAGAAAAAAATTCTGGGAGCTGAGGGATTGTCGAGGTAGTTTGGGCATGTAAAGAGAATGGAGAAGGACAGGATGATGAATGCAAAAAATCTGGAATGTAAGGGTGGAGGAACACTGGTCATCCCAGATTGTAAAGGTCTTGAGTGATAGGGGCTTGAATATTCAACAGGTGAGCAGTGTATGAGAATGGAATGAGTGGCTTTTTATTGCTTAACAAGCTTCTGGGTGTGAGCAAGGTAACATTTATGAAGGGATTCAGGAAAATTGGTTAGCCTGAGTTTTAGTCAGGAGGTGGAAAGGGCAGTGCTTGCATGCTGAAGGGGTGGGGATGTTTAGGCAATCATCATCTATATTACAATGTTAGCATACCTCCACAAAATAGTGATTGAATGAATGAGGGGAAATGTTTCCAAATTTGTTATCTTATCTTGGAGGGGATGGTAAATGAAGTAAAATGATAAACAAATATAAATGAAAATTAAGCACATACTAAATGACATTAAATTGGTATTTAATTATTAAAAGTAACTAAGAGAGAAATAATATTTTATGCAGTTAGGGTAATTACATTTTCTAATTTTTTTGTTTTTTTCACCAAGAGGATGAATTTCACCTGTGGTTAAAGTTCCTAAAACATTGAAAATAAATGTAATATTGTGTCTGGAGAAATTCACAACTTGCCCACAATTTTGGAAAGGAAATTATACAAAGTTTTTTTGACTCTTGAACCATCATTAACGCATGAAAGAAGAAATATGCAGTTTTATTTCATCATACAGAAATACAATGGAAAACCACATATGTATAAAAAAAAATTTTTTTACGCATGTTTATGAAAATTCTCCATGGGGAAGTGAAAGAATCTTCCTCCATAAGCCAGGTGTCAAAAGGGCGATTAAGTTGCTATGGAAAACCCCCTAAGGGGTTTTCCCGACATGGACATACTCAGAGACTAAGTAGTACTGGTGGATCCTATGCCAGCCCCGGGGGGGGGGGGGGGGTTTTTTCCCCCTTTTAGGGCCCTAGCAATCCTGGGGTTAAGTTTTGCTGGGCAAGGGAATAACCTTTCCGCAAACATTTTTTCTTTTGGGAAAAATTTTTTTTTTTTTTGGGAAAATTTTTTTGCCATTTTTTGGGTTTTGAAAATGAAAAAAAATTATTAATAAAAAAAAATTTTTTAACCAAGTTTTAAAACGGATTTAAAGGAGAAAAATAATTTTAAGTCCCCTTTTCAGTCTTTTAATTTTGCATTTCCCTAAATTAACTACAACACAGCACATTACCTAAAAAAATAAAAAAAAAATTGTCCCTAAAGATTAAAAAATTTTAAACCAAAAGTTATGGGTAGCCAAAAGAATAAATGGGGTTAGGGTAAAAATAAAATTTTACAAATCCCAATAAAACATAAAACACATCAAATACCTTTCCCAACTAAAAACCATTAAATTAATTTTACAATTAAAATTGGGGGTTTTCCTTTCTTCTGCTTCTTTTCCAAAAAAAAAAAATCTCCAAAAATTTTTAAAATTACTATTTTTTTTTCACCTAACCATTTAAAATTTATGCACAGGGGTTTTATTCCCCAAACCACCAATATCCCCACAATAACACAAAACCCTTAAAAAAAAATTTTACAAAAAAAGATTCAAAAACCCCCTTTTTTAAATCTATTTTAATTTTATACATATTTTTCGTTCACCCACATCTTTAAAACACTACACATAAAGACCCCCAAAAAATTTTTGAAAAGCAATAACAGAGCACACAGGGATCACACCTAAAAATACCCTTTTTATATTCTTCATTGTTCCCCCGAACCTCTCACTACAAGAACACAAGTTTTTTTTTCTATAATACAATTTGGAGAGAAAAGGCAATTATGTATAATACTAAAATGATGAAAAAAACTGTCGCTCACCCAGGGGGCTTTTTCAAGTCACTTGAACCACGCATAGGGAAAAAATTTTCAAAAAACTCTTATATGCATTTGCTTCTGTTTCCAAGATACAAGTACCAAGACTGCATAGATTACACGAGTGACACTAATCCCCTGACAGATTAAAAGAGTGACAGCCAAAAGGTTAAATTAAAAAAACCCCAGAAAGGGGTTTTTCAAAAAATGCTCATTAATTTTTTTAAATGTCAATAACACCATTAAAGTGATATAAAAATCACAACTGATTAAAAAAAAAAGTGGTAAAGGGGGTTGGAAGCCATTAGAATCTTTTGTTATAGAAAGTTACTGGTTAAATGATGCCACCCACCCAAGCAAATTTTTCAGAAAAAAATCACCAAGGCAAAATTCATGTAAAATGCAGGGCAGGGCTGGCAATTAGGGAGTAAAGTCATCACAAAGGGGAACTTTCTTTGACAACCCCCCAATCACAAATTATTAGTAGCAGCACTAGGAGTTATGCAGCAATCTGTTCTAGGTTGACCACAAGCACCAGATAGCCTGGCCCATGGGGACTCAGAGAGTCCTTTTTTACCTTTAAGTTTTTGAGGCTTCTCTACTCTGACCCAGCCATGGGGCCCGGCTTGCTATGCTTGCCCGGGAACCCGGCTGTTGCTGTGGAGGCCTCTGCCCCACAATCCCCCCAGCCTGGGTGATCTGGCACCTGATGAAGATACTTGTCCGTTTTCCCTTTAAAAATTCTCACTTGTCCCAGCCGTTTTTGATATCTTTTTGTAGGTTGAATAGTTTGGGGCCCAATGTTGATCAGTTTCCCTTTTTTCCCCACCAACCCCCGCTCCCACTGGGTTTTTTTGATGCTTCCTCCCATCCTCTCACTCCAATATGTTTTTAGGGATGTGCAGATTTTGGGGCCGGCCCCCCCTCTTTTTCAGGGATTTTATCATGTACCTTTCCCCCCCTGAAAACATTCAAAATTAAGGCTTCCCGTTTGGGCTTATCTAATGTTTTGCCTAAAAATTTTTGATCTGTTAGCTCGATACCCTTTTAATGAGGGCACTGAAAAATTCAAGGAAACCCTTGTTTTTAAAAAATTTTTACCCCCCGCATTTTTTTCTTTTTTTTTTTTTAAAATTAAAGGTTAAACAAGGATGGCTTTTTTTTTTTTTCTTTTAAAAATTAAAACGGCAATTTTTGAAAAAAAAAACTGGCAAAAAAAAAAACC